AGGTCTAGGTTTTGAATTGTATGTCTCAATAGTGTATAATACCACTATTATATAGCTAAGAAATAATATACTTAAGTGTAAAGAGTTAAACGTAGCGCTATTTACGGAAAATGTAATCTCGGGTGTAATCAATGTCAATATTATTATCGTGGATGCGTTTAGATATGCGGAACGTGACATGGATGCGGATGCATTAAAAGATACATATTTTGGGATGATCGAGTTTGAAATTAGGGATAAGTTCGTCGCTTTGACGTTTTTCAATGGTTTATGAGAATTAGTTATATACGGCAAACTACATTAATATATATTTTCATTTTGTGCCATGTATATATTTGCCCGTGTCAAACTTTCTAGAGTCTGTTCAATCTCGATTGGTAAACAATAAAAAATAAATAAAAAAATTCAAGATATATGTAATTTATTAATTCAGCAAGTTTTGGGGAAAAAATGTGCTTGCCGGTGTTGAATGACCACTTCTACAAAAAAACTTAAGTTGTTAAATAAATGTATCATTTAATATTAATATCTCCAATATATCATATCTCCAAATTAAGCATCTAATAAATGAAGTAATTTCGGAAAAGATTTGTATTTTTTTTTTTTTTTGTAACATAAGGCCTTGTTAAGTTACCTATGTAGGTTTAATTTTTAATAGATGAGATAAAATTAGTTTCTGATTGACTAATATTTAGGTAGTACGACGATCGATTTCTTAGATTAGATGTTATATTGATTTTGTTAAAGTTTGAACTTACGTGTGATTTGTTTATATCTTACTTCAAAAAATTAAGATATGATTTGAAGTATCCAATTTTCTTTTTCTTTGTAGTCATTCCGTACAAAATTAATCATAAGGGAATGGTACTACTAATTGAATGACCTAGTTACATTTAACCGGTCATTTAATAAAAAAAACTTAATAGTGGTAACCGAACGAGGCCTAAATCAAGTGTGTATAATTCTCAAAAGTCAGTTCCACGCAAATAAATAGTTTTAGTTAATTATTGCTATTGTTTATGTTTACCCATTTTGGAAATTCTTTATTTTCGATTTTCTGGTGACTTTGGAAATTAATATGTGCGCGCTTCTTTGTCATAGGTAAATGAAACTATATTATGTAATTTCGAGGGAAATATGTGGTTTCATACTTTTTATTAGTCCAAGCATTGTTGATTATCTGAAAATAAAGAATATATTTTTTTTCATCTTCATCGAGCCGAATCAAAATCAAGCTTTAGTAGGATTCATCGAGGCGTTTAATTATGGGAAGACAGTGATACTAAAATCCTATTGGCAAGCACAACCGAAGGGTTCCAAATTACCCCTGCATGTAAAGACTATTATATCCCCATTATAAATAAGAAAAAACACAGCACAAACACACTAACACAAACGCTCGCGCGCATGCACACACACTCAAATAACGAAAACCCTTTTATATATAATAAAATTACACCCAACTATTGAAATTCTAATTGAACTCCAATTTCACGATTTACACCTAAATTTAGTACAATTTCACCAATTAACCAATTTTGACCCCAAAATTACTCCGGCGTTGACTTTTTTCTTTTATTTATTTATTTATTTTTGAAAACTTTTTTTTTCTGAATTTTTTTTTCCGGTAGGTCAACCACCTGTCTCCGGCGTTGACTTTTCCTTTTTTTTGTTTTGAAAACTTTTTTTTCTGAAAAGGAAAAATTCAAAAAATTATGTAAATGGGGTTAATGTGATATATTTGTTCAAATATGGGGTCAATGCATAATATTGATGAAGTTAGAATATAATGGATGAAATTGATAAAAAATATATTATGTAGGATATATTAGACAAAAAACAAGTGGATGAGTTTATTTGCAAGACTGTTTTTTGTCTGGACATATGTGCATTTAAGTCCTTTATCATAGGCCTATTGCCATTCGCCCAAATAATAATGTAGTGTGTGTGTATATATATATATTAGATGAAAGAAATTTCATTTCAAGATTTAAATTCAGCGGTTAAAATTGGTTGCACTTCAAGTGGAAAGAAATGGCGAAAAATGAATCTTTTAAAAGACGACCTAGCTATCTCATGTGCATCATAACTACCTTCTATACGAACATGTTGAGCAGAGAAGAACTCGAACGAATTTGTGATAGTAAGAATATCGGCTATATTGGATTACCATTCATGTCCTCTCCACTAACAATCGCACTGGACTAGATTATGAGGGTGTTCAGTTGTTCAAATCTCGTCTAGGGCTCACGAATTCTCAAAAACGGCCCTGCTTTTGAATTTTGACATGTGTGTAGCTTTCATGTTATTCTCATGCTCTACTCACATTTGGTTCCAAATAGAACAACCACACATCAAAGAGGGAAATCGACTGAAACAGAGTTGAGACGACAAATTAAAGACTCATGACTTACCTTGAGTTTGGTTATATTTTTGTTTACAAAATCCACCAATGACTCAAAGAAATGACGACGTTATCCAAACAAGCTTAATTGATTTGCATTCCGTAATTTCAAATCCAGCCAAACGAAACCTCATCAGAAAAACTTAGGAGGGTAGAAAGAAAAAAAAAATGACACATGCATATATATACAATGCTTTGAGTTTAACTTTAATCTCTCCAGTTTCTGTGTATTTTGAGTTTTTTTGTCAAAATAAATTTACTTATTCAACTGATCCGCGTACAATACTTATGAATCTCTTATTTTAAGGAAACCTAATTATCATATTTTATATAATATATTATATTATTTTGTTTAATTAATGTATATAGATATTTACTTATTTGTGTTGTTTTCTTCATAGATATTCTTCATAAAATTCAGGGATACTGTCCTCGAACACCCGATAAATTTCCGTTCACCCTCTTAGATTATCGGCCCCCTGACCGAGAAATCCTGGTTTTATGGTCAAAAAAATGTAAAAAATAGTCAAACCCTTCTTTGTAACTTTGTAAAGTACAAATTTGTTTCAATTTGTTGTCTTAGCTAGGTTGTTATATGGTCTTTGTTACGTGTAGCAGACCGGTGTATTATTACACGATTTTAGAAAAATAACAATTATATATATATATATATATATATATATATATATATATATATATATATATATACACGATTTTTTTTATTTTTTTTTTTGGAATTTTAGCCTGAAGGTTGCATTTAGAAATAAAGCTATGATTTAAAAGTAGAGTTTGGATGAATGATTTACAATTAATCCCAATATAAATATGAAATATAAGATCTTATATATTTAATTCATTGTATTATAAAGTACATTTAAATAAAATAAAATTAATCTATTATTTACTATTTAAATAAGTATGTGGTATCCATGAAAGTGCTTATTT